GTGCCGCTCACAACGCGTGCAACTTGAAGCTCAAAATCAATCCCAAGACCATCAAAATCCCCGTCGTGTTTCACAATCTTCGCGGTTACGATTCTCACCTGATCATGCAGGCCATCGCGAAGGTCAACGGCAATATAACGTGCACCCCCACCAACATGGAAAAAATACATCTCGTTCTTGTTAGACGGTCTGAGATTTATCGATAGCGTTCAGTTCCTGCTGTCGTCTCTAGACAGTCTGGTGAACGTCAACGACCCGGACAACTTCGACATCACCAATCGATACACCGACGCCGAGACTCAACCCCTGCTGCTGAGGAAGGGTGTCTACCCATACGAGTACATGGATGATTGGTCTAAGCTCGACGAGACGCAATTACCTCCCATCGACCAATTTTACAGCAACTTGACCGATTCCAATATCTCTCAAGACGATTACGCGCACGCGATTAACGTGTGGGACAAACTTGGCTGCAAGAATTTGGGCGATTACCACGACCTGTACTTGAAAACGGACGTGCTGCTGCTGGCCGACGTGTTCGAGATATTCAGAAAAACGTGCTCAAAACAGTACGACCTGGACCCCGCGTGGTATTTCTCCTCGCCCGGTCTCTCTTGGGAAGCCTTGTTGAAAAAGACCGGCGTGGAGCTGAAACTACTGACGGATTACGACATGCACCTGTTCGTGGAAAATGGTTGCTAGGCGGGATTTCCAAATGATACACCAAAGCCAACAACAAGTACGTTCCAGGTCACGACCCCAGCAAACCGACCAAACACATACGCTATCTCGACGCCAACAACCTGTACGGCTGGGCCATGAGTCAGTATCTCCCCACCAGGGGATTCGAATGGGTCTCCTCACCCAAGATGATTGACGTGAATAGCATCGCGCCGGATTCGAACAAAGGCTACATGCTCGAAGTGGACTTGGACTATCCCACTTGTCGCTGGGAATGAAACTCACGAAAATACACAGGGCGCTCCAGTTCGATCAAAGTTCATGGATGGAGCCTTACATTCGGTTGAACACGAATCTGCAAAAACAAGCCACGAGCGACTTCGGAAAAAACTTGTACAAGCTAATGAACAACTCCATGTTCGGCAAGACGTTGGAGAATTTGAGAAAACACGTTAACGTGAAATTAGTCGGATCCAGCAAGGAAGAAAAACTCAAGAAACTTATAGCCAGCCCGGCGTTCAACCGAAGCAAGATATTCGACTTATCCAAACACTTGATGTACGATTTCTACTACTACGAGCTGAAAAAGCAGTACGGCGACAGCTGCGAAGTGCTGTACACGGACACAGATTCCCTGCTGATGGAAATTGACACCGAGGACGTGTACGAGGACATGAAGAAACACATGCACCTGTACGACACCAGCGACTACCCTAAAGATCACCCTATGCACAGCCAAGTCAACAAAAAAGTGCTCAGCAAGATGAAGGACGAATGCGCGGGCACGCCGATTGCCGAGTACGTCGGCTTGAGACCCAAGATGTATTCCATCAAGAAAGCCGTGAAAAAACACATCATGCACGCCAGATTCAAGGAAGCCCTGTTCAAGAATAAAACGTTCAAACACCAAATGAACATGCTGAGAAGCGACGGATACAGGATATACGGACTGAGAATCAACAAGACCTTGCTGTCCCCATGGACACGAAACGATGGATCGCCATCGATGGAGTCACCACTTACGTGTACGGGCACAAACGCGTATCAAATAATTGAACGCTTATGCACACATGCGTACATATGTCATGGAGAAAATTTATTACAGCCTGCAAGGGTACTGGAAATACAGAGTATTTGTTGTCATCATCACCATCATCACTATCGCATACAGAGTATTTGTTGTCATCATCACCATCATCACTATCACATACAGAGTATTTGCTGTCATCATCACCATCATCACTATCACATACAGAGTATTTGTTGTCATCATCACCATCACATACAGAGTATTTGTTGTCATCATCACCATCATCACTTCCACATACAGAGTATTTGTTGTCATCATCACTATCACATACAGAGTATTTGTTGTCATCATCACCATCATCACTATCACATACAGAGTATTTGTTGTCATCATCACTATCACATACAGAGTATTTGTTGTCATCATCACTATCACATACAGAGTATTTGTTGTCATCATCACCATCATCACTATCACATACAGAGTATTTGTTGTCATCATCACCATCATTACTATCACATACAGAGTATTTGTTGTCATCATCACCATCATCACTATCACATACAGAGTATTTGTTGTCATCATCACCATCATCACTATCACATACAGAGTATTTGTTGTCATCACTATCACAGAGTATTTGTTGTCATCATCACCATCATCACCATCACATACAGAGTATTTGTTGTCATCACCATCATCACTATCACATACAGAGTATTTGTTGTCATCATCACCATCATCACTATCACATACAGAGTATTTGTTGTCATCATCACCATCACATACAGAGTATTTGTTGTCATCATCACCATCATCACTATCACATACAGAGTATTTGCTGTCATCATCACCATCATCACTATCACATACAGAGTATTTGTTGTCATCATCACCATCACATACAGAGTATTTGTTGTCATCATCACCATCATCACTATCACATACAGAGTATTTGCTGTCATCATCACCATCATCACTATCACATACAGAGTATTTGTTGTCATCATCATTATCACAGAGTATTTGTTGTCATCATCACCATCATCACTATCACATACAGAGTATTTGTTGTCATCATCACTATCACAGAGTATTTGTTGTCATCATCACCATCATCACCATCACATACAAAGTGTTTGTTGTCATCATCACCATCATCACCATCACATACAGAGTATTTGTTGTCATCATCACCGTCATCACTATCACATACAGAGTATTTGCTGTCATCATCACCATCATCACTATCACATACAGAGTATTTGTTGTCATCATCACCATCATCACTATCACATACAGAGTATTTGTTGTCATCATCACCATCACATACAGAGTATTTGTTGTCATCATCACCATCATCACTATCACATACAGAGTATTTGTTGTCATCATCACTATCACATACAGAGTATTTGTTGTCATCATCACTATCACATACAGAGTATTTGTTGTCATCATCACCATCACATACAGGGTATTTGTTGTCATCATCACTATCACATACAGAGTATTTGTTGTCATCATCACCATCACATACAGAGTATTTGTTGTCATCATCACCATCATCACCATCACATACAGAGTATTTGTTGTCATCATCACCATCATCACTACCACATACAGAGTATTTGTTGTCATCATCACTATCACATACAGAGTATTTGTTGTCATCATCACCATCACATACAGGGTATTTGTTGTCATCATCACCATCATCACTATCACATACAAAGTATTTGTTGTCATCATCACCATCATCACTATCACATACAGAGTATTTGTTGTCATTATCCCCATCATCACGATCACATACAGAGTATTTGTTGTCATCATCACTATCACATACAGAGTATTTGTTGTCATCATCACCATCACATACAGAGTATTTGTTGTCATCATCACCATCATCACTATCACATACAGAGTAGTATTTGTTGTCATCATCACTATCACATACAGAGTATTTGTTGTCATTATCACCATCATTACTATCACATACAGAGTATTTGTTGTCATCATCACCATCATCACTATCACATACAGAGTATTTGTTGTCATCATCACCATCATCACTATCACATACAAAGTATTTGATGTCATCATCACCATCATCACCATCACATACAGAGTATTTGTTGTCATCATCACCATCATCACTATCACATACAGAGTATTTGTTGTCATCATCACCATCACATACAGAGTATTTGTTGTCATCATCACCATCACATACAGAGTATTTGCTGTCATCATCACCATCATCACTATCACATACAGAGTATTTGCTGCAAAACTAAACAAATTTAGAATCAATATGATCTGATTTACATACATTGAGATTAAATAATATTGTTAGTTTGGCCTTGTAATTAAAGATAGCAACTACTGTCTACCATGATAGGTTTTTCTGGCTGTCATATGATGCTACGCTGTTATAACGAATCATAACTGCTGTGGGATTCAAACCCACAGGAAAGTGCACCACCTCGGATGACTGGGCTACGCAGGCCCCCTTACCACACGAATGCAGGATGTGTGTTTGGAAAGGTATGAATCAATACACTGATGACATAACACAATGGGACAATATAAACTAACAAATACTCTTGCCATCTCCCCCTGAAAGAGATGTTCACATTACCTCATGGAACACTACCTGCCCTATGTCTTTTCATCACATATTTATCTAAGCATAAAGATGAGTTATTTTCAAGGTGCACAGTATATTTTGTATTCCCTTTCTCTTCTCTATTAAACAGTCCAATTCGTATAGTCAGGCAAAAATATGTGAAATTGAGCTAATGGGTTCTTTTCAGGGAATCAATGTGTTCTGTATAACACAGATGTAATCAATGTTTTAACATAGAATGTACCAGCAAACATTCTGGATTGAACCCAATATAATTAATTCATATATTACTGAAATTGTTTCCATTGGGATATTATAACACGGTTACATTCATTTTGAATAAAATGTGATTTCAAGTATTAGTTAACATGTGCAAAAAAATAAAACATATTAAAATGACAAGCTGTGTCTGCTTATAATGTATTCCTGGGGAGTGTTTTCTGTTGCATACAGTCATTACAATTGTTGTTTAACAATTTCTGTATCTTGAAATAAACTGTACGGTTGAGAAGTGTACGGCCGATTCATTTGAACACATTGTCCTGGAATAACACTTGAATAGCGGCTCAGTTTATCTTGTAATAATCAACATACGAGGTCCCTAAATCTCATAACTTATGGCCCAGCGTCTGATCTCGCAACATACCGAGCACCTGCGAGAAAAGCCGAGAGAGCCTGCTTATCGAGTCATTTAGCATTCAACATGGCGTCGCTGACATCCACAGCCAAATTCAGTGATATATACGAATTGAAAGAAGAATTGGGGAAGTAAGTAACGACGTTTGATGAGTTTCAACTTCAATAGATTCCAATTCTGATGAATTTCGCGCTTGGATTAAGCGAGATTCCGAGAGCGGAGTGATAGAGAGAGACGAGTCACGGATTACGCCAGTTCGCCCGATATTGCTTTGACAGGAAAACCGAAGCAACGCATCTCGGCACGAGTATCGCTTTGCCTCTCTGTGTACACTGCATTTATTTGTGTAAATCTGCTGCATTTTGTGTGTGTCCCGTGTTTGCATATTCCGTTTGAGGATATATCTACAGTATTTCTATTTCTTCGCAGGGGTGCGTTTTCTATCGTGAGAAGATGCGTGCAGAAAGCCACAGGTCTAGAGTTCGCTGCAAAAATAATTAATACCAAGAAATTATCTGCAAGAGGTATGTATTTTCCATGTGAAGAACTGGCAGGAATGTTTCGTCTAGAATGGTATGAACTGTGTACACAGATGCACTGTTAACGTTGTTGGAGAGGGGAAGTAAGACATGGGAAACAGGGAAGTACAGGGAAAGCATTTAGTGTGTATGGTACACATGAGTGGGTAGACAGGGCCTAGCTCACATTCTTAAAACCCCACTCCCAGGGAATTCTTGTTCAGAAACATGTATCCATCTTGTTACGGTTGTTTGATAAATATGTGGTGCCCCAATCCCCCAATGTGATATTGTGCCCATCACAGCATAGCCTGACAGTCACTGGCCACCGTCAGCTGTCAAAATAATTAAATATTAAAATATATTTTAAAGCCTGGTATTTCATATTATTTTGATTTTGAATGCTGTGAACTTGATAGAATATCACTGTTGTGGTTGGGGCTATTGTTTTTATTGCAGTTAATGTGATACATTGTCCATGCCAGACCTGTATAATTAATGAAGCTCCATAACCATGATAACAAATGCCACACAGTGCATGCAGGAGGTTCATGGTGTTACAAAATAAATTGATTAAAGAAGTGAGTAATGAGCTGCAGGTATCAAATTAATGTGTACAAGTGTAAACTGACACTAAAGGATGTAGCGACTATGAATGCTGGTGGAGGCATGGTCACTCCTCTGGCATCGAAGTAACTTGTCATGGATTCACGTGATATTGATCGTAAATTCGCCATGCTCTTGCTAGCCGTGATATATTCGTATGTTAATGTCGCCGATGTATCTAGCCATAATTGTGTTTGTCTAGCTATACACAATGTTTGCCTCACGCTGTATGTCTCTGTTTTCACGTTTCTGCCTCGGTGCTTAGGTTTCTGGAAACAAATGACAATAGCCAGTGTTTATTTCCTTCTTTGACCTTAAAATACAGTCATTAGAATACTTGTGCTGCCAGGGACTGGGCGAGCTTGGTTCTTGTTATGGTGAAATTGACTATTTTAATGTGTTCAGTGGACATATGTAAAACCTTTCAATGATTATCATCAGATTGATTATCTCAGACCATTGTTAAAAAAGTGTTATGTATTGTGAGTAGTTAAAAGCATTCTCATACATTTTGCCTCAAATTGATTTCTGAAAGACAATGCTTTAGCATGGTCTTGTCACGTGTGTTCATACAGATTGGTAGCAGTATAAGTTACACATATTTTTATTGCAGTATGTATTGACAAATTGACGATATGCTAATACATAGAGAACCAATGATTATGTGTACGGTACTATTAATTTATGATAACAATAGGTATTAGAAGTGTTGACTTTGGGAACAATCTAATGGTGATGACAATAACTTGTCAGCTGATGCTTCATGTAGACAGACATGTGAAGATAATGGCCTGTCACCTGACTTAAGATAAGAGGTGTTTAATGACTTGTAGTAAGCCCTGTTACATGCTTAGCTAAACCCTTTTGATGGTGTAGTTGATTAGTGTAAGTCTGGCTTGACACTGCCACAAGTCTGTCCAAAACAGGTGACATATATATGGACAAGTTGTCCTCTCCATGATCTTGGTTTTGTTATTAATCTGACCTCTTTGATGAAATCAGCAGCAGCCCTATTTGGATGTGACACTGATTAATTTTGTGAATGGTTTTGGAAATGAACATAGAGATTTTTTCTGGGTTACATCGTCTTTTTATTCTCGAGTACAAAAGAAGATGTAACCCAGAAAGAATCTCTATGTTCATCAAATATCATCTTCTAAAATGCCAATCAAGCATCTAATTCGCCATCTACATGGAGATGAGGCAGTAAGAATATTGAACAGCAAGTACTCGAGAATAAAAAGAAGATGTAACCCAGAAAAAATCTCTATGTTCATCAAATATCATCTTCTAAAATGCCAATCAAGCATCTGGTTTTGGAAATGTTTTATACCACAAGCATTGACAATCTGATAAATCTTAGTGATACAATGCTATGTATTTGTTTCTTTGTGTTGCAACAATGTTGTGCAAGATGCACTGTCCTTGCTGAAGGAACTATGGTCTGTAGTGAAACAAACTGTATACATGTTCATCAGTGTATCTATTTAGTGGCAATGTAGCAGACATGTACTGATGATATCACTTGTAACTGCTTTGGAAATATGTTGGACTGTTAAAAAATATGACGATTATGACATGCTAGGTTATTTCATTTTTATATCATTTTATTATGCAGATTTATTTCATCATCGTGCTTCTGGTCATAGAAAAGAAAAGTAGATAAGAACAGAAAACTAGTTATGTTCAGACTAGACAACAGAGTCAACACTGATAATTATCACTCAATCCTTTGTAACATCAATTCAATTCATTGTAACATTTAACATGAAAGTTATTTTGAAAGGATTGGTCTTAGCATAGGAGTACCATACTAGTCTTAAATCAAACACTGTAAAGTAAATTTTATTGTGTAGTCATTATTTCTCACATTCTGCTTAAAGAGAAAGAAGTAATGGCGACTTAACTGTTTGTCAATGCTTAGGTAAAAAATACCTTGTTCTCAGAGAACTTTGGGGAGAAAGTGAGTGTATGACAGGTTTTACAAAACGAAATAACATTATTCATTTGACATGTTCAGTGTCCTGAAATAAATGCTTTAATTGTTTGTCATCTTTCTTTAAAAGGAAAGGTTTCAAGCCCTGAAACTGTGACTGAAAAATGTATTCTGTCTCTGGCAAATCCTCCACCTCCCAGCATGGCCAGAATATCAAATAGTCTCTCCCAATGTCCCTTGTCTACTCAAGTAATTTACCTCTCCTTTCACACTATGTTGACATTTACCATAATGGTTTTCCCTGAAGTTTAAGTACGTTTAATGGCCAGGGTTGTGCCTATTATGTCTCTATCATTATATGTTACCAAATATTATGGCATTGATCACATGAATCATGTGAGATATTTCCTTTGCTTATTGTTACAACATAGATCATGGTATTGACAATCAGTGTTTGAAGTGAAATGTCGCATTATGAAAGTCTTAGACGACATTATCAAGTCAACTGAAGCGAGTTCTCAGACTCCTGAATTTGTATTGGCAGTTGATTCCCAGTAATATACTGAGAAACACTTACCGTCCTCTTGATATTATTAATATTAATGTACATACATTGTATTAGTATTAGTTGTCTCCTGGCCATGCAGATGTACACGTCAAACAACACAAGAAAACACCACACAATCACACGCTGGGAAAGGGAAGACTATTTTTTGCCTCTTTGTTATTTATAAAGAAATACATTGTCAACATCAGAATATGGTATTTTACTGTAGATAAGCCGACCCCATAGATAATCCGACCCCTTAACTCGACCCTTAAAATCAGTGTCAAAATGGTATGTTTCGTGCATAGGCCGACCACCCGCGATGGGATCCTCATCGCGGCCAACTCAGACCACAGACAACTGGCAGTTACCGATAATTATAACTTTTCGGTCCGCATTATTCAAAGAATTCACAATCATTGTGTCTTTCCATGCCTCGAAATGAAGTGTAGTTGACAGAAAATGGATAATAAATTTTGTTTCGGTAAATATCATACTTATTGTAGCTGGACGATCACATGTCAACGAACTGGCTTGCTTATTTTACCCCTATTCTATGTGCGTACAACTTCCGCTTACCATGTTCATAAGGGTAAGTTTTTCGCTCCAACCGCAATAGCAATTTCACATCATATCAACAATCACGTTCTGATTACCACCCTGTTATCCACGGACCGCTAGTTTACAGTAACATCGGTGAAAACGTGTGTGAATTGAAATGGCATGTTTATTTCACCTCATTCCATGCACGTACAACTTCCGAAACCCACGAAAGTGTAACCCATAGATAAGCCGGCCCCCTTCTACAGACTGATTTTTTTTGTCCCCAAATTTGGCTTATCTACGGTAATATACGGTAACCATTCTTTAATATTCATAGAAACAGATACCCTTTGGCCTGAAATGCAACACTGGTGAAGATTATATGTATGGATATCTGATATTGTTGATACCAGATGTCAATGAACAATGTGAAACATTTTCTTGCTGAAATTATTTCCCTTTTGAATGATTAAGAGCCATGACTGAAGTTTCAGCCTCCCTGTAAACTGGGTATGGTCAATGAAACACTGAGTTGTGTGTTACAGAAGCTGCATATGGTGATAGATTAGGTCAGTAACCCTATAGTGGTACTGTGTTCTGGTCAATACGTGCAGAGTCAGTTTACAAGCAATGTCTGAACTCTTGGGAAAACATCACAGACAGTTGGCCATAAAGAAACGTCTGCATTGACCTTCAGAAATAACATCCATGATATAACTAGGGAAGGGAGGGCCCAGGTGGGGTTACCCTGACCTTGCAGACAGTGGAAAGGCTATTGTGGAAATGTGTAGTTGAATACATATCATATGACACACTTCCTATCATGTTACATATCCAGCTTGCTGTTCAGGTTCACACCCATTTTACCTTGGACATGGGGGTAATTTAATTGGATGGTTATTTAAGCACAGAATTAGAATCCAGCTCAAGCAGTCATGTTATGTCTGTCCTGAATAGGTATTTATGCTGAACTCTTCAACTGGTGGTAGCCTAATGGTTAAAGCGTTCGCTTGTCACACCGAGGACCCGGGTTCGATTCCCCACATGGATAAAATGTGTGAAGCCAATTTGTGGTGTCCCCCCGCCATGATATTTCTGGAATATTGCTAAAAGCGGCATAAAACCTAATTCACTCGCTCTTCAACTGATGAATTGTAGAGTTGTCAGCACAGAAAAGATTAAGAGTATGGATATTTTTTTAAATATACCCAGCTGTTAGCTTCATAAATTCCTGGCAGTGTAATTATAACTCTCTATATTATACACTATCTCAGAAAGTCAAAATATATTTTTCAGAATTATGTTGCTTTGTAGACACAGAATGCATTATTTAGTGGGAAGTATTTAAAAATATTTTAGTATTGTTTATCACGG